ATAAATATATAATTATGAATATGTTATATATTATATATATATATATATAAATACATTAAAAAAAAAAATTATATAAAGCAAAGATCACGCAACGTACACCTCCACGGATTGTAGTGAGCTAGTTAGAGAGGGTCTATATATGTATTATAAGTTGGAGAAGGAAGAAGTCCCTTTTCAGAAAGAGTAAGAGATAATATTAAAGTAAGGCAATTAATTAAAGTAATGTTAAAAAAACAAAGAAAAGAATTGAATTAAGAATTACGAGAGCAGCTCCGACTACTCTAGGCCTATCTACGTAAGTTCATTACGTAAGAGAAATATTTCGTTGTTTTTAGTACACTTATCGCTCGTCTCAGTCTTTCTCTCATTACTTTACGTTATTTCAGTTTTTCCTTTAAATACTCTACATTATTACACTCGTATAAGTACTACCGTCGCTATGATTTTTAAGGCCGCTGCGTGGATCACACGATAACTTTTTACGGTCTTTTCTTCCTATGAATTACACTTATTATTGCTCTTATTACCGGTTAGTTGTATTATCATCTACGTACGTACACCTCCACAGTGGTTATTGACGTATATTGTTAAGTGTAAATCTCGTTTAATAGGCGCAAAAGAGCCATCTTTTATATAACATCGATGAGAGGATCACCAAACTTCTTCGGTCGTTCGAAATGAATTATTGGAAAAGAAACTTTTGTATGTACCGATATTTCTTCACTTTCCAATTTGGTCCGTATATATATAAGTATATATACATCGCAAGTCGAACGCATCGAAAAAAGAAAGAAAGAAAGAAAGAAAGAAACATTAATAAGACACAACGACGAACAGTATTTCTTGGATTTACGTCTCCATTATTTAGTTTATATAAGACTGTATGATTTTCAGTGTTGCATTTTATTAGGGGGAGGTCATTGCCTCCGGTATACTGATTATTCCAAGCGAAGATATAAACGTTTCTTAACGATTGAATTCACTGCCCACTGCGCACTGCCAAGTTTCTCCATGCGCTTCAATAAACTATTTAAACTCGATTAGAACTACTTAACCGTTCGATTAAGTCGCAAAAAATGAATTGTTTGACAATTTGCCAGCGTAGGTCTGGGAAGACTGGGGATACGCTCATACTTGTTTGTACTTAATTAACGTTCTCTCGTGTATTTCTCGATTATTCAACAAACCCCCAGATTTCCCCTTCCAATGACTGCCAACCTATGTACGCGTCTATTATATGTATTGTATTTATTTATATTATGATGAACAGATTAACTCTATAAGAAATTGTACGTCAATCTGTCCTATGTGATTTAGCGTATCATTTCGCCTTTCTGTAATGTTATGCATGAACTTTGCATACGAAGACTGCAAGGATATTTCTGTACTTGTTCTCCTTTTGTATATGTCAGTATATGTGCCACATTTTTCTGCTTTTTTTTTCTATTCAGGTTTCCCAGTCACACGGAATACAGAATTTACAGTTAGGATCTCGAGTAATTTACGAAGTAGACTCGAAACCATGCAATAACATATAATTTTATATATGTTATGTATCTTTCCAGTGAGCGTTTTATGAAAAATGTTTATTGCGAGCAACGGAGAAATGATAACAGAACAAACGAGAGCTCATTGAATCCGAGGACACCCATGAAACCTGTGACTATTTATACTATTATTCTGTTATCATTTCCATTTTATTCTAAACATTTTTTATACATATTTAAAGTAATCGATTGAGGCAGTTAATCTCGACTCTCTTGTATATTGAATCTGATGAAGGGTGTAATGTAAGTAACAAGGGACTATTTTTCAGAATACTCTTATTTGTTGAACATACTTTATTTCTATATTTAGTTTGATTATATAAAATGTAACGATCATTTTATTCTATAATTTAATGCAATGTACAATACGCAGCAAGCCTTTCCAATTTGAACTCCAATAAGGAAGTACTATATATATATATATATATATACATCATTGATTTCAGTTAAGAAATTCAAATGAATCTGTCAGTCGTTTTCCAAGTAAAAAAAATATTGTTTCTTACACGGCTTCGTTTGTAAGAGGAGTAAGCGGAATGTGCGCTCTTATGTAAAAAAAATGAATGTATAGAGGTACCGATAAAAACAATGATTATATTTATAAAAGTATCAAGAATATTCTTCTTCTACGTTGTGTGTAGAGTGCAATTCATACCGAATATATAGGAATCTGAAATGATTGAAGAAATACTTGTCTTTCCAAAATATTAAAAAAATTGATT